TTTTTTTTTTTTTGTTGTTAGACGTAAGTATATTTTTATGTATTTATGTATGAATAATGAATATTTCTGTACCAGAGATACACAAAAAATATTATCTCAGTAGTTGAAAAATTCTTTTGATTTAATAATTGAGCGAATATATTTCAATTAGAGGCTTATGAGTGCGTATCCCAAGTTTATGTTTGTTAAGTAATCAATCATACTTAGAAAATATTTAACGATAAAATTAAAACTGTTATTGCAGTTATTGGTTAAAAGATAAAAACTAAAGTTATTAATCTTGTGACGTACCTATTTGTTTATGGACATATACATATCGGGCTTTAATATTGATTGTTGTAGGTGTCTAATGAAAAACAGCGTCTTTAAAGAATCAGCGCCGGTGTTCACTAAACATCTAACCGATCGCAGAGTGGATATCAACTCTACGGTCCGATTGTCGTGTCAAGTAAATGGTTTGCCTGTACCGTTGGTTTTGTGGTACAAAGATGGTCAGCCAATAGACTTAGAGAGTACGAAAATTTCTTTTTTTATATTAAAAATTTGTGTATTTCCCACGCAAATAGTATTATACATAGGTAAAAAAAAATCTAATCCGTCCAAAATATAGAACATCGTAAAATCGTGTTGTGGTGACATCAGCACGGTATCTAGTATATTATATTATAATTATTTTATTTATTTATTTTTTGAAAATTAATATGATCTTCTAATTTTAGAGCCGCTCAATTAGCATATTGACGGTCATGACTGCTATAGCATTATAACAATTTCCGTCACTTTCGCGTCACTTTGAATTGGCTAATGCAATGATAATTGATATGACATCATTCAAGGCATTCTGTGACTTAAAAATCATGATTGTTATAGCATGGTGCAGTGRCCGTTAATATTTTTAAATAATATATAATATGATGAAATGGCTGCATTTTATTTTCCCAGATGGCACAGACGGCCACAGAAAACCACCGGTCAGGGACGACTCGGACGACTTCTACACGCTGGAGCTGACTGGAGTCA